AGAATATCTCTGAGTCAGAGCTGATCGATTTCTTGTACTGGGACAGCTATTCTTGGTGGGCTCTGCAGTTCGAAATTGTTTGTTACAAGGTGATTGGCTCACGTACACCTAGGCTGATAATTCTGGTGGGTTCTGCAGTTTGAATTTGTTTGTAACAAACTGAATGGCCCTCCACCTCTACATCTGGGCTGATCGTTTTAACAGGCTCTGCAGTTTGAATTTCTTTGTTAACTACTCTAAAGTTGTTTTCTTTGGTTTTTGTTATGGTCTCAGCCTTAATCCCTTCCACCATGGTCATGTCCCTAACTGCCTATGGTTTTTCTATCTCAGTACAAGGGTTTCTGGAAGCCCATTCTAAATAAGACGACTTCTAATAGCACAAATGCCCCCCATGAGCCACAGAATACATCCTTAGAGAAACTATGCTTTTATGGAAAGTCCTCCTAACTTCTATATGAGTGACATTATATCTTCAATTTTGAGATTTAAACCTCTAGTGTTGTTGCTGGGAACCCAGACAGAGAGACAGGACACCAAGGCGTGGGAAGCAACTTTTATTAATGCCGGCACTGGCTCAGCAGATTTACACCCAGAGGCTGAGCCCCGACCCGGGTGGGACTCGGGGCTATATACCCTGAAGTTTCCAGGTTGGCAGCTAAGATTCATTATTAGAACATATGGTTATTGTGCCAGTTCCTGACTGGCTCCTGGGTGAGGTAGGAATTTGGAAATATTAAATGCAGAAGTCTTGCTGATCATACAGTCCAGGAATGTCTTTGTCTGAAGCCCTCATGAAATCCTTAGTGACCACATGGTCTGGGAAGGCCTTTGTCTATGGCCCACTGCCACAGTGTAATTTGATTTAACTGTGTAGTTTAGCTTAGGACTTTTTGAAAATTTTTCTTTTCTTTGCTTCTCTTTCCTCTTGCCAATCCTTAATGGCTTTGTTGACTATACATTTACTATGCATACCAGTTTCAATGGTTCTGTTAACTTCAGATCCTTTGCATACCTAGCCCAGTGACTTGAAAGAACTTCTTACAACCAACTAAGATCCACTCCTATTTTTGAAAGCAAGCAGCCCTGGGAAAACACTTTTTCTTGAAATTGCCTGACTAACTTCTCCTTTGCTTTGTTCTGACTCTTCCTGCAGGCCTATTTGCCACAGTAAGAGCTGGAAGGCAGTCTTTGTGACAGGGAGTCCACTGTCCCCCCTTAATGCTGGCATTTTGCAATAAACCTGCTTTTCTTTGCACCAACCTCACCTCTCCAGGTTTGGCTTTCCTGTGGCGAACAGCCAGACATTTTGCACAGTAACACTTCTGGTTGTAGTTTGAAGTCAACTCACAATTCTCAGCAATTAATTGAGATTATAAATCTGTTTCTGAGTGTTCCTGAGTTTTTGAATGGTAATTGGGAGAGATTTTGTGTTGGAATGTTAACCTGATAAAGTTTTAAAGAGAAATTTGCAGGAATAATTTCACAATAATAGAAGTTGAGGTACTTCTCAAACTTGTTCATAAAAATCTCTTGGCAAGCTTGATAAAACACAGAATCTTGCACACCACCACACCTTTCTGACTCACTGAGTCTAGTTTGAGGAATAGCATTCCCAGTAAGCTCTCAGCAATGCTCCCATTTCAGTGCTACATGAAATATCCATGTGGTCTGCAGAGTCAAATCAATAAATAAGGGTATATCTGGTCATGGTCTTTGAATAGCGTTACAGGTGTGGCAGTGAGCCCTAGACAAAGGCTTTCCCAAACCATGTGGTCACTGAGGATTTTGCGTGGGCTTCAGACAAAGACATTCCTGAACTGTATGGTCAGCAAGACTTCTGCGTTTAACATTTCCAAATTCCTACCTCACCTGAGAGCCAGTCAGGAACTGGCACAATGGCCACATGTACTAATAAGGAACCCGGAAACCTCAGAGTATGTAATCCCGAGTCCCGCCCAGGTCGAGGCTCAGCCTCTGGATGTGAATCTGCTGAGCCAGTGCCAGCATTAGTAAAAGTTGCTTCCCACGCCTTGGTGTCCTGTCTCTTTGTCTGGGTTCCCCGCAACACAGGGAGCAGTGGAGTCTCAGTGTCTCACTGTTGGTTGACACATTTTGGAGCAGAGCCCAAACGAATGGGGAGCCCACCTCCTCCTGCCACCATTATAGGCAGAGAGGGAGAGAGGAAGCACAGTCTCTCAGAACAGGGCCATGGACCCCCCTTCCAATTGTGTTGTTGACCAATTCCATGCTCTCTTTTTCTTTCTGACTCTAAGGTTGACCCATTCTAAGCATATACGGAGGTATTGATTGAACTTCCCCATGGGTTTACATCACTGTGTAAATAGAACTACCCTTATCCAGACTATGAGTTGGGCCCCGTGATGGTGAGAGCAGCTTTGTTCCCAGAGATGGATCCAAAGAAGCGATCAGAGACCCCAGAGAAGCGGCTGTTCGTGTTATAGATAAGCCTGAGGGGAGCCAGGCATGGTGTCTGTTGGTACCACCTGGGATAGACGCTGGTAGACGCTGACCCAGAGCTAAGGCCACAGGTAAGTGACTGTCCCTCCTGGACACACTGACAGTGATGGCTAGTTTGAGAATCCACTCCTAAATCTGATAGGAGAGATACAGGTATTATGGGAGACACAGGAACTCTGAGACCCTGTATGTGTGTACCCACCAAGGATGTGGAAACCCTTTTTCTCACCTGAGCCATAAGCAAGGAGACGAAGCAGTAGCACCATCCAGGCCATGGTGGTGAGACTCACAGGACACTGTCTCCTCAGGTTCCTGAGCTGGAGTGTGGTGTCCTTGGGCCTTTTAATGCCTCCCAGACCCATAAAGAGGAGAAGGTGCTTCATGCAAATTAGCTTCCTCTCTCTTCTTACCCCAGGGCCACCCTGATGTCTCCTGGGGAAGGTCTTGAAAGAGGCAGATGCTGGGACCTCAACTCAACCAATGACTTGTGACAAGAGGGGCTGAGGTCTTTCACCAAATCAGCTCCCTCGTGTCCCTGGTGACCTCAGACATAAATATCTTTTCTGGAAACGTGAGGACAAAATGATGAAATGGGTGTGTCCTCCACCTCCTGGCCCCAGCTCTGTAGTTCATTGCAAATCTAACCCTCTCCCTGGGAACATTACTTTCTTCCTCAGTGAAATCTCTTCTTGTCTTTTTCTAAGGCGCTTAGCAGTCACTCCTCCCTTCAACAGTGAGTACTCTGAGAAATCAGAGCTCCTGTCTGGAGTGTGGAGGGACAGAGGTCTTACCCTGACTCAGTGCTAGACCCTGTCCCAGTAGCCAGGCAGGGATGACAAATCTCCTTTGCTCTAAGAAACCAAGTATTATGTGGATTAACTTCAAACTAAATGGGCTTTGTGGACAAACGGTCACAGTGTCACTATAAAATTATTAGATTCCTCACAACATCAGATATAAGAAAATAGGAATGCATATCTGATTATGAGTAATGAAAACAACACCGTGTACAAACGAGTTGGTGTGAACATCGTAGAACATTCTAAAACCCCCTTTCCCTTTACAGTCTGATGTGGAGCAGAAGGAATGGGAAGGGTGGAGAATGGACTTGGGATGGAAGGGGACTAGTAGGAGGGTAAAAATTTTCCAGCAATTGGTGACAATGAGACACTCAATTTGGTCATCAAAGTGTGAAATAAAAGCATGACTTACAGTCTTCATTTTGGAATCATTAGTAAATTGTTTAGTAAAACTTGCGTGATTATGTCCTTTGCTGTTCACATGTGTTTGAGAGCTGCAATTCATATTATGGAAAAATATCCATATTAAATTATTTTTCTATTATACAAGCATGTAATCTGATAGTGTAGAAAATATAGGTAATTTCATATCTACCAAATTTTGAGATGAGAAGTATTAACACACAAGAAAAATGATTAGAAAGCTGAAAATGCAAACCATCAGTTTCCATAAGTCACTATAAAATGTTAAAATAAATAAGAAATAAAAGGTGAATAAGACATAACAACTGACATGATGACAGGTAAAGGGCCAGTGCACTTAGTACACGTCTCCTTGGGAATACACTGGGAGTCATATTAGCAGCAGGATCCCTGAGGTTTACCACTGGACAGACTGTCTCAGGCATTGTCCAGGCAACACTGGTCTCATTAGTCTTTCCCATGGGGCAAATCTGGGTGTTTTCTTAGTTTCCATTTCTCTGCTGAAATTTCTACCTCTTCCTTCATTGAAAGGACATTTACCCGAAGACCTTGCAGTGAGTTTTTCATTCAGTTGAAGAAAAATTGTATATTAAGCTCATAGGGTATTTCAACCCAGAAACTCGTTATATCCATGTAAGTTTCATGTAATTTCCTCACAATGTTCTGTACTTTTTAGTGTACATGGCTTTCATTTTTTCTCAGATTTATCCTTAAATATTTCACGTTGATATTTTTATAAATAGTATTTTTTTTTAGAATAACAAAAAAAATATTTTACTAAAACAAGATTTACAGAAGTTTCCAGACAAGCCATACAAAATGGTCACAAGCTTTTTCTTGAAGGGAGAATTCTACACTTGACAGCAAAGTCACAATGTTATCAGTGAGGGCTGTGATGTTTGTTTAATGTTCCCATTTTGGTTCAAACAATGAAGCTTGTCCATCTACAGCGTCTAAATAAAGTTAGACTTGGCTAGAGAGCATATTCTAAAGAACTGGTTAGTTGCTTTTAACCATTGCAATTAGATCGCCATAAAAGGGGGGGAGAGGAAGGAGCCCATAAAGTTAAAATAAAACTACCTCCCCCCTCAAAAAAACAAAACAAAAACAAAGAAAAACACCCACACCCCTGCAGCTAACCCTGACAACTACCTTCATTCACAGTGCTTTATACTTAAACCATGATGAGGGAAATGAATAAAAGCAGAGAGGGGCCACTGCTTTTAAACGTTTCGCAACAATCCCGATGATACTTCTAGCCTCTGCTCATGCTTTACAATAGTGAATCAGGACAAGACATAGATTTGCTAATGTGCATTTAATCACCAAAGGACTGAAGATGTCTGGGCTTTTATTCTGTAATGTTTCTAAGACTGTGTCCATTAAATGCAAACAAAAAAAGGAAGAAGTCTTGGCAGAACAGGAGAAATGATGCACACTGATGATCAGATCGATTTAAATATTATTCATGGCATATAGCCTAGTCCATGCTCTAGCTGTTTCTATGGCTTGGGCTTCGTTGGTCTTCCACTGCTCCGCTACGTCATTTGCTAACGGGTCGTCTGGGTTGGGAGCACTTAACAAAGCCTGGATCGATAGCAGGACTGTGCGGATCTGCAGTGCTGGGGACCACTTATCTTTCAAAATATCTAAACATATTCTTCCCAACTTGTCTACATTAGGATGATAAATTTTGGTCATGAAACGTACTTTAGGGGCTGCCATTGGGTATTCTTCTGGAAGGAATAGTTCAAGTTTAAAAGTCCCTCCCTCAAAGGGGGAATCCTGGGGGCCAGCAATGACCACATGAAAATAACAGGCGTTGCTCTCCTCTGGTTCTGCTTTGATGCCGGGAACTGGTTCTGCCAGCAAACGCTGAGTTTCCTTGATCATCCTGCGGGGCAGCCCGGCCATCTTGTCAGATACCAAGTTCGGCCTCTAAATAGTATTGTTTTTATTTTTACATTTTGATTCCTCACTGCTAGTATATAAAATACATTTCATTTCAGACTATTGGTTTGTATCACAAAACTCAGAATAGAACCCTCATATCAGAAGCTTATCTTACTCCTCTACCCTGAGCTGGACATGGCCTGACTCAACCTGATTTGACTTCCTCAAATGTCGACATTGGGAGATTTTTTTTATCTCTGAGCAGGGAATATCTGCCTATGAAAACATGAGCACAGTGAGAATACATGAGCAATAAATCAATCGAAAAGTTGAAATGAAGACAAGGATGTGACATGGTCAGAACTAGTGGCCCAGGAAAAGCAGGTGCCGGGTGAAGTCAGACCACACGCTGAGCCTGAGTTGGTTAGGGCCCAAAGCAGGGTAACAGCACCAGGCCTGGAGAACAGAGAGGAGGTTTCTGTCTCATTTCATTGTGTGTCTACAACACTGTGTGACTGTTAGAGTTGCCATCCCATGTCTCACAGTAATAGTCAGCCTTGTCCTCAGGCTGGAGCCCAGAGATTAGCAGAAGCCCTGCATTGGCCAAGGTGTCTTTGGATCCAGAGAAGTGGCTGGGGAACCCAGATTTCTGGTGCTTATTGAGTCTGTATTATATCTCAGGAGAAACCGGGGAGGGCCCCCTGGCTTCTGCTGGAACCAATATATGATTTTACCACTAACACTTATGCCACTGTCCTAGGTGCAGATGAGTCTGGCTGTTGATCCCAGAGATGCAGAGAGGGAGGGCGGCTGAGTCAGTACAGGCTGGGAGAGGGAACCTGAAAACAGAGATACATCTTCAGTGAACAGAACAGAGGGGTCAGGGTGCAGCTACCCTGGGTCTCTGAGGCCTGTCCCCACCTGTGCAGTGAGAGTGGAGCACGAGGAGGACCAGGATCCAGGCCATGGTGCACACAGCCCCTTCTTAGGCCACAGAGCTGGTACTGGGCTGCTCAGGCTGCACTTATCCCCTTCCAGCTGGCCTCATACAGGAGGGGTTGCTCTTGCAAATGTGTCGCCACCTCCTGCCTTTCTCCCAAGTGCACTGACAGGGTCTGGGGCACTTGCACAGGGAGGCAGCCTGATGCCCTAGTGTCCCTTACGGATGGGGCTCTGAGAAAGCAGCTGCTGGGACCATACACAGGTCCACATGGAGGGGCCTTGGCCAGGCCTCAAGAGTACATGCCTGCCCAGTCCCAACAAGAAGCAATGGGTCCAGTCCTGGGGCCTTCTGTCAGTGGAGGCCTGCCTGGCTGGGAGCGCCTGTCCTGCAGAAAACCCCCATAATGGTCTGGTCGCGCCACCTGCTGGTCATGAGGTGAACCCCCTCCTCTCAAGAGGCTTCAATATCTGACTTTCCCGTTTCCTTGACCTCTGTGTGTCTCACACCTGAGAATCATCCCTGCAGGGAACTATGCAGGTGCGGTCCTGGTGTGACTGTCACTGATTAGGGCCTTGATGGTGGGCAGCCGTGCAGAGAGGGGCACACATGAACTCTGGCCCAGGAGAGCATGGGAACCACTGTGAAGCTGAGGACACAATACAGGGAACTGAGATCACAGTGGATCTGTCCCCTCGGGGGACTCAGAGGAGGGGGCTTGCTCTGGGTGCTGAGTGTGAACAGGAGCTCACTGGGGACACAGAGCACCACAGAGGAGGACGTAGAAGGTGCAGCATGCCTGCCTCCCAGAGCAGGGCAGAGAGGACCCTGAACAACCATGAGGCTGCTGCGAGTATGTGGAAGGATCAGGGCCTGGGTGTCCAGCAGGGACCCCTGTGGGGCCAACCTGCAACTTCACCCACATGTGCTGGCTCATTTTAAACCCCAGCTGTGCCTTTGTCAGTGCAGCACCTTAGAGATTTAGCTCCACGGGAAGTTCTAGGTCAGAGTTTGGAACAGAACTTGGGACAGAGAGACCTGGCAAGGGGACATTCTGGTTGGCTGTAAGAAAATGACAGGGAAGGGGTAAAATGGCACATGTCCAAGAGGTGGAACAAAGGGAGGTAACCAACTGAACTAGATTGCCATTTAAAACTCAGACATCTTGGTCCGGCTGAGTGGCGCGTTGGTTAAGAGCTGGCTTGGGATGCCAGAGGGCCCCGGTTCAGATCCCATATATGAGGGCCAGTGACACTGCCCTCTACAGCTAAGATGGTGAAAAACAGCTCAACCTGGAGCTGGGCTGCCATGAGTCGCCGGTGACGGCATAAGCCGCAGTCCCCTGCTGCAGTGGGTTGTCATAAGCTACCGTGTGTAGCCAGCAACCAGCATGAGCGTCCAGTAGCCGCTGTGAGTGGCCGTCCAGAAGCTGGTGACTGATCTGCCTCGCCCAGGAAGACTGCAATGATGGTGCCAACTTGGGCCAGTGAAGCGACGTCCTCCACAACTAGACCGAAAACAAAAGGACAGCAACTTGTCTGTTCCCCTTCCCCCGATTCCCCAGCGCTGTTCCCCTCCCCCAATTCCCCAATAAAATTTTTTTAAAAACTCAGACGTCTTACAATTTTCCAATAAAATAACTAATGTCAAAGCTAGTTTCTTACTTGGCATCGAAAATCAATCCAATCCACCACACCTTTTATTTTCCTAGACTAGACGATGACTCTCTGATGCTGCAAACTTTTATTCTAAAATTTCCCATAGGATCTAAGCATCTACACAAATGAGCACAAAACCCTAAAACTGTTCCCTCCAGAATCCCACTGACTCAGTTCTTGTTATAATAGCAGCTCTCTGATGTCCTACAGAAGATGAGACTATAATTTGTCATTATAATTACCCATTTCAGTTTGTAATATGCTGCCTATGTTATAATTCCAGCAGATACATTATTCTACCATCCCGAAGGTCAGCTGATCCAGCCTGATACCTGCTGTGGGACCAGCCCCTGTTGCTGAGGCTTGGGCTCTCCATTGCTTTGCCTTTGTCAGGACATGGTGGCTATAATTGCCCATTGGCCTTAACAATAAAGCACAGAGACATCATGGCACCCAGGGATGTGTCTGCTTCTTCCAGGGGCTGCCAGCCTCTGTCATCAGCCCCACCTCACACTGTGCCCTTGGACTCCATGACCTCAGTCCATCCTAAATCATCTTTCCCAATGACCATGAGACTCCTCCCTCTGTGAAGTCCATTCGAGGGGGCCTCATGAACCCCAGGGGATTTCCTAGCTCTGTACACTCCCTGGTCCTAGCATCTTGATACCTGAATCTTGTGATGCAGGATTCCTAGGCAGGCCCTTCCATCATGTGCTGAGGGTCACGAGGTCTCCCTGTCTTACACGGCATCTGCTCTCCTGGTCTCTACTTTCCATTTCCTGCCTGGTACCCTGAACAGGTCACTTCCCTGGGGATCTGCCTGGAACCCACCTGCACAGAGTCACCTCAGTGCAATTGCCACAGGTCTCCTCTCAAACAGCCTCTAACACCAGTTGGGGTAAGGGTAGCACATATGCTAGGAAAGACCCAGAGAAGAGTGACAACAAGGCACCCAGAGCTCTCATCCCACATGTAGGTAAAGTGTATCCCACCAGGCAGCCTCGGCCTCCCATTGACCCCATCAGAAGCAGTGAGAGAACAGGCTGACAGACATGTCCAGTCTCTGCTCCTGAGCTGCACAGGGACAGAGAGAGGCAGGGTGTCTCTGATCCCGTTCAGCCCCAGGGGGGAGGAGCTCTGCATTCTGGCTGTGCCTCCTCCCCATTCCTCTCCTGAGTGTGACATGGGGGGGAGGGGCAGGCCAGGAGAACCAGGGAGATGGCAGGTGTTAGGATGGAGATATGAATCTTACTTTTTACCACTTTGTGCTGAACATAAAGTCTTCTACAAGAGGGTTGGGAGCAGCTGAGAGTAACAAGAGAACAGGATTTCTCTGGGAGGATGGTCAGAGGGGCTGGGCTGACCAGGCTGCGCTCAGGAGCTGGTCTGTGCCTTGGACCCAGGCCTTTCTAAGTCTCCTTCACTTCCTGGCCTCTGCAAACCTCAAGCAGCTTTCTTTTCCCTCTGCTATCTTCTGGATGGTTCTCCTGGACCAAGTCTCAGGATGTGGATCAGATTTAATAGTTGACTTCCTTTCTCCTTTCTCAAGGGAAACACTGGAAATGCACTTAAGATTCTTTTTGGTTCCAGATCTTCCTTCTCCCTCAGCATGTGGTCCAAAGCCATCATAGTCTCCTGTCCAGGCTCACAGGGGTGCTCACTGACCTTGGGTGGAGGACAGGTGACTTTCCCTCCTCCAGAGACCTCAGCTGTGCTGATCCCTGTCTGTTCCTGCACCAGGTCAGCCTGCTGGAACTTGTGACTGACTCATGACCCAGGAATGTCACAGGAGGACCCACTGAGATGACTTTTTATAAAAAACTAATCTATAGTGCCTGAAAGAAGATGCTTGGGGCCAGGATGGGTGGGATTTGACCAAAAGTGAACAAGGAAAGGGGATGGGTGATAATGAAGTGCTATGTCTTAATTGTGGGGTTGATTAAAAGATTTTATGTATTAGCCAGCACTTACCAAACTGTACATAACACAGATGTGTGTTGGTTTTATAAAATCCATGTAAAAAAGATTGATTAAAAACCTCCATGATGATGCCATTCTGAAGATGACACTACAATCTCTATATACTTTTAAAAGTTTGTGTTTCTTAAAAAGAGGATATTGATGGAAATTGCAGTTAAAAATATGGATGGAAAAACAATGGGAACATAACACCTTCAATTCTTGGCTGAATACAATGTATAAACTTGTTTTTCTGAAATGGCTTGATTTTTTTTAATCATGAGTTTTTGAATTTTGTATCATGGATCTGGTCCTGCCCTGTGAAACTACACGAGGGGACTCTTCATAGAAACGTGGAGCCATCTTAGTGATGGGAACACCAAACACAGACACGGCACACAGGACACAGTGATGTTTGGTCAGGCATTTCTCTGGGTGGGCACAGTTACAGCCTTACACTTGTGTCCAGCATTTTCAGGAGAGA